TTCAAGCGACTAGTACAGAGCCCGTGCGATGCACGGATGCACAATTTTAAGGCTATTTATCCAGGCTTATAATTATATACATGAATAAAGAAAAATGTACGGGATATATATAGTACGTGCACGAGATATATTTATTTGGAGAATATTATATTATAAGATGCAATATTCAATAAAAGTTTATAATCCGCAAGAAATTGTACAATGTTCAGTAAAAGTTTTATAATATTCAAGTGGAGTCTTAAAGTCTCTTGTATATTAAGACTACTGACAAAATAATATTTTAATCAATGAGTTTCTTTTCCTTGTAACCAAATTGTGAATGTGATTTGAGGAATACAACAAATCGATATATAGCTGACTTGTTTTTTTCATTATATTTTTTTTTTCTTTTTTTTTTATAATGAATTTAAAGATATTCTAAAATATAGCAAAAATTAATTTTCTTATTACAAATAGGAATTTTACTAAATATAAACTCTCAATCTATGATGTTAATCGACGTTTAAGTCTAAAAAATTAGGAATTTTTACCTCTTTTAATCAACCTTTAAGTCTAAAAAACAATAGAGTTATTATAAGTTTTTTTTCTACATCTTTTAAAACATTAAATATGAGCATGTTAGGGCTAGCTTGTAAAATAATTATTATATTATCTCACTAAAACATTTATACTAATAAAAATTTAATTTTAGCATATAAATTTATCCCTTGATATAAGAGAAAGTAACAGTTTTATTTATTGTTATTCACCATATAATATTTAATTATTATTTTATTATATAATAAAAAAAGAATATTGTTAAATAGTGTAGTAGAATTGTTATAAAATTATATGATTTTTTTTTTACAATATGAATTTAATATTTTTTTATGATTTGATAATATAAACAAATCTATACTTATCTTTGACAAATAAAACAAATAAATACTTTAGTAAGTATTTAATGTATATACTAAATAGGAATATATTTGGTAATCAAATACCAAATATAATCAAATAAATCAAAGTGTATATTTTTATTTGGTATTTGATTTTTTTATTATTAAAATCTTTTTATTATACTTACCTTTCTAAAATAAAATAAATAAATAAATCAATTAAATAAATAAAATATTATAATACCAAAATAGTAATGATATTTAATGCAGTTGACTTTTCTGGATAGTAAATGTAGTAAATAGAATATCCTTTTATGTAGTATAATACGGAAATAGTAATAGAATAAATGCTGTTGACTTTTCTGGCTACTTAATTTAGTAAATAGTATCCCCTTTAATATAAGTATAGATTATGTTTTTCTTATGTTTAAAATTGAAAAAAAATTTGTTAACCAATCAACAGTGACAGATTTATATGCGGTACGTGTATTTTATCTTGATAAATAAGTAATGTTTATCCCTACAATTTTGCAAACAATATTTTTTTCCAACAAAAAAATATTCTCCATGATTCGTTGGAGACTCAAATTTTACAAAATTTAATTGAATTTTTTTGTTCTTATAATGAATCCCAACAATTTACGGTTCATAGTTACGTGTACATGATTTATTTAGTTGTCCATAAGAATGGGATTGTAAGTAGATAAATGTAAGATAAAAATTATTATCCAGTAGTTTAACCTAAAATCTACAACTAACAAGTAATTAACATATTTCTAACTAGCAAGTACAATTAATCAATATTTGATTATTTTTATAGCACATAAACGACAATCATTACATTTTTATCATCTCTATTATTAATAATATTTGTTTATTTCAACTTTTTTAAAAGGTGACTCTTTATATATATCATATTTGTAAGAAAAAATCTCTATTTATTAATATAACATTCAAATTGTGTAAGTATTATTAATGTACTTACAATATAATATAATAACTTTATTTAAAATAACGTAAAAAAAAAAAATCCATAATGTGAAGTAAATTCATAGCTTTATTTTCATATAATCAAATTCATTACAAACTAATTAATATTATATCTTTTATCTACATTATCTAACTGAATTTTTCATGATATAATTAATATAATATCTTAACTAATTAATCATTTATCTAACTGTAATTATCTCTCTACCAAACTTGTCAAATTTTTTTTAACTAAAGCGGTATGATTATTCTTACGGAGATACTTACCAATATATTAAACATTTTTAAAAAAATGAGTTATTCCTCCTTTTATTTTATTTAAAATTCTAAGTTTTATTTTTAAATATATTACTGTTTATTTTTTTCTTATGTGTAAATGTTTATTATTTATTATCTAAGTGATAAATATTATTGATTTATCTCTTTAATAAATGTTTATTATTTATTTTTTCTTACCTGATATAATCTAAATTTGGTTATTGAATTTTTAAATTTTTCTATATATATATATATATATATAAAAGTTTGATTATTTTTTAAATAGTAAATATTTTCCTCCAAAAAAATCTATTTACTATTTCTGAAAATTAATTTAATAATTTATGGTATATATATTAAATGATCACTTATGGAAATTGCGGCTCATTATTTAAGGATGTAATTAAGCCATATTTTAAGATACCTTAATTACTCAAATCATATGAATTAATTAATATACGGTATAAAGTGGAGTGATTTATTTTTGGTATTGATGGTTGTTTCTATGGAAAATAAATTAATCAATATATGGTATAAAGTGAGCAAATTTATTTAGGTTATTTGATGATTGTTTTTTAGTAGGAAATTTATTGAAAAATTAATCAATAAACGGTGTACTTTTTTCTATAATGCGCAGGCTAATATATTAATTTTTAGGCATGTATTTCAATTTTTATTTCATTTCGTATGAAATTAACATAATAAAATTATAGTAACTTCGACAAAATAATATGAATGGATAGTTTGATATAATGTGCGTGTATCAATGTTTTTTGTTTTTAACACAAAACTCTGGTCAATTTGTTTTTATGTATATTTAGTGCATCTCAATTTAATTCATTTATGTTACGGCATTTCTAATAATTTTTGTATGAATTGCACTGTTCATTTTTTTAGCATGATAAAGAGTGTCGATTTTTTTGACTAAAAGATCTTATGACTGATTGATTTTACTCAAATACTTAAATTTTTTTATTTGGATATTTTATACAAAAATAAATTCATTTTAGTTAATGCAATAATATAAGTTTTATATTTATAATTATTATTCACTAAATATATGATAAAACTTTACCAAAATAATTATTTTATAGAATCACGTTACAGTCAAATCGAATTTTTGAATAAAAATTTTGAAATGACACATATATTGAAACGAATATAATGTAACTTATTATCAGTTATGTGCAATGCACGAGTTGTGTACTAATTTTAAATATGGACATTTTTATGTCATTTTGCACAATTTAAATTTTATAACATTTACAATAAATTAATATAAGTACATTGTATACATACTGATTCCATGTATTTAATTTATAAATATTATGTAATAAAAAAATTTAATTTATAAATACTAGTGAATATCTCTTACCCGTGCATCGCACGGGATTCGTACTAGTTTATTATATAATGATAAATATGTAATGTATATTAATATTATTTAGTGATGTAATTAATTTAAAAAGATATAAGCAAATTTAATGTTAGGTAGGAACGTGATTATATGTAAGTTGAGATAAAATGAAATGTATCAAAAAAATCTTCTTATGATATTTTTTCCTTTAAATGTTTGAATGAATTTGAAATTCAAATTACAAATCAACCTTCAGTTATTCAAATAATTTTAAAAAAGTTACCAATTGTAGTAAAATGTACGTGACAATATATTATAAATATACACGACGTCAGTAATGTTATGAATCTTTAAGTTCCTAAAATATATATTGTTTAGATATGAAACTAATTAACTTATATGTTAAGATAATAAACACAAATATATGTATTGTACGAAATATACACGTGACAAGTTCTTATATTTGTTTATATATTGTTTGTATATTTGTTTGTATTGTTTAATATATTTGTTTATTATAATTGTATATAAATATATTGTTTATATATTTGTCTGTATTGTACGATAAATTATTATATTTGTTTATATATTGTTTAAATATATATTGTTTAGATATGAAAATAATTAACCTATATGTTAAGATAATATATATAAATATATGTATTGTATGACATTTTTAACGTGTTTGTTAAATTTTTTCTCTAAAAAATTCAAAATACATATAGGCATGTTTTGTTTGAAGTTTGAAATTCAAATATGCATCTATATAATAAATCACATGATTTGTACTAGCATTAAATGCTACTTGACTTTTTATTAAAAAGATTAAAAAAAACATACCAACAATGGAATGCAATTAATATTCCCTATTTTTTTGCTTACTATTTTTGAAAAATGTTAATTCTTATTATATATATATAGATATGGCAAAAAATTTTATTTGCAATTCTATATATGCAAAAAATCAAATACTATGATACGCAAATGTTTCTACTTCTTGAATAGTCCCGTAACAGCCAAATCCACCTTTACATAAAAACACATGCGCAAACCATGAATCAGAAACAAATGGAAAATTACATCCGACGGTCGGAAATCAGGCGGTAAATTTAAGCCAATTTAACCTAATCCGACGGTCCCTAATACTCTGCGTCCCATCTAAGCCAATTCCTTTCCCGGCCAAACTCTACATATATACCACTACCGGTCTGCCCCATAACAATCTCCCCAGATTCATCTATATCTCTACGTATAATTTTGATGGTAAGTCTAATGTTCTTCACTGTTGGGCCAATATTTTGAAGCAAATTTAACGCAGATTTGTAATTGCTGAATATATTGAATGCAGGCTCTTCCAAATCAACCGACTGCGGATTGCCCAAGCTTCAAGCTCGTGCTTGTTGGCGATGGCGGCACAGGTTATTGCTTCAATCAGTGTTCCTATTTATTTTGGTTATAATTTCGTTCTCTTAGAGACATATTTGAAGTGATTTTGAATTATGTTGCGCATATTTTGATGATTTTTGTGCCGATATTTTGGTGCAGGGAAAACTACTTTTGTCAAACGCCATCTTACTGGAGAATTCGAGAAGAAATATGAACGTAATTTTTTTTTAAATTTTATTGTTGTTCGAAACTATTGGTTGTGTATGTGTTGATGTATGTGTTTGTTGATTCACGTATCGTCTTCCTGTGCATATCATTTTCTTTAAGCAATTATCTATGAGTGATTAATGATAGAAGTTTGTGATTGTGTTTGGCTTTCAGCAACAATTGGTGTAGAAGTTTATCCACTTGACTTCTTCACAAACTGCGGCAAGATAAGGTTTTACTGTTGGGACACGGCCGGGCAAGAGAAGTTTGGAGGACTCAGAGATGGTTATTAGTAAGTTTTCTCATGACTATTGTGACTTTGTTGATATGTTCTATTCTATGTTTTCATGCTGTAGCATTATCTGTGTTTAGACTTACTGTGATCAGAAACTTGTACCTCGTGTAGGCTATAATGATTTCAATGTAGATGAAATTTGTACTGGATGTGATGCATAAATATATTTAATTCTGTCCACGATTTCTTGACTGCATGCAGCATTTTTTGTCAGCATAATGTATAAAAATCATGAATTAATTTCAGCTTGCTATCCAAATTTAGATGTCATATTTGACGTAGATGATATACATGTAATATGATCTTCCGAATGCTTTGATGGCTGTGTTCTTCTTTATTGTAATGTTCTCTGTGAAAGTTTCGTGACTCTTGGGACCTAAGTTGGAATATTAAGTCAGAGGAAACGTAGTTGAACATTGAAACTCAAAATGTTGGCTGTTTGATATAAATTTTTTATGTTTATTATTTCATTGCACGCACCATACATTTCTTAAACACTTAACACAAATTCAAATTCTTATCTCATGTACAACAGTATTCATGGGAATTGCGCCATCATAATGTTTGATGTGACGGCACGAATGACCTACAAGAATGTCCCCACATGGCATCGGGACATTTGCAGGTACCCTAGAATTATGTGAATTTCCTTATGTGTAACTTTTTCGAATGTGAAATTCCGTAACTTATCCTTGTGCTAATTTCAGGGTGTGCGAGAATATACCGATTGTGTTGTGTGGGAATAAGGTGGATGTCAAGAACAGGCAGGTGAAAGCAAAGCAGGTCACTTTCCATAGGAAGAAGAATCTTCAGTACTATGAGATCTCCGCCAAAAGCAACTACAACTTTGAGAAGCCCTTTCTGTATTTGGCTAGAAAACTTGCTGGGTAACGTTGATGATACTTTTCTTGCTTTGTCCTTGGTGTTTTTTTCTCTCAAGGGTTGTTTATTAAAAAATATTTTTTTTTTGCAGCGCCCCTGATTTGTATTTTGTCGAGTCACCAGCACTTGCTCCCCCAGAAGTTCAAGTTGATTTGGTCGAACAATTAAGGTATATGAGACGACTCTTTGTAAACTAATCCTTGGTATATTGTACTCAAGTTAATTGGCATCTTTCGGTTCAGTTGCAACATATGCCATGGTAATGGAGTTGGAATGATTGTGTTTGAGGCGATTTTTTGGTTCTTACTGCAGGCACGAAGAGGAACTGAAAAACGCGATGAATCAGCCTCTTCCTGATGAGGATGAAGACTTTGCTTGAGGATACACTTGCATAATAAGTTCCCGAAAATAGTTCTAACATTAGTAGAGTCCAGGAATTTGTTGGATCAGTTGAGCGCTAGAACTTGTTTCTTTTCCATATATATATCTATATGTAGTTGATAGGTCCATTTTGGCTGTGTCCATTTTGGCTTTGTTCATAAAATAGTTTCAAGCAACATATTAATCATTTAATCTAAGGTATTATTGTGAAACTTTATGATATCATGTTTGAATTTTTATTTTTTATTTTTTAATTTTGTTTTGCCATAGCACCCAAGGCTATTATTGTTTAAATCATTTGTGTAACCTCAAACTTATTGTTTTTAATTTTGCTTTATGATAATCATTTAATCTAAGGTATTATTGTTTTTAACATAAATCATTCATGAACATCTGAATAAATGAAAATTTGAGGTTACACAAATCTCAGTTATACTTTACACGATGGAGTTATGTTACAGCACAAACCTCAGAGCAGAGCTAAATTCTTCCACAATTAAACAGCATCAAAATAGGTATCATGCACGATAACTTTATTCTCCCAAAAGATAATTTTAGAACCCGTTGGTTGCAAAATCTGCAGTGGACCGTAAAATGTGTAATGCCCATGACCCAAAATGCCTATCTATGATCATTCGTCATCAAACCCAAAAATCCAGTAGACTAGAAGAAGGTTTTCAGTTGACAACATCAAGGACCAACTTCCTGGACTTGAGCACCGACCATCTCAAACGCCGGTAATACCCAGCTTGGAGCAATGCCAGCGACAGTACAAATATCCACTTGAAACCCATCTGTGAATTTAAGATTAGATAAACAAAGGACAATAAATAAATCCAATAATAATTTCTAAATAGCAGCAGCTGGAGAGTTTCAAGACCTACTCGTTTACTATGGATCTCGAGGTCTATGTTGCTATCCTCAATGGGGAAAAGTTTTCTACTAAAGCTTCATTAGACTGTAAATTAGTTTCATCAATAGTTTGATTGGTTTTCAGGCTCATTCACCACAGAAAACTAATTTGCTAGTTGATTTGATTTATTGCTTTGTTCCATCAATTAACAAGCATCATGTCTAATTACTGTAAATAAAAAGTAACTATAAATATATTTTTCGGTTCGACAGATTCCACCCTCAAAAGGGACAATTGTTATGCAGTTAAAAACCTCAAAGAAGTATTTTGCAATTATTTGATGGCATCTGTTATTTGTATGTTTTCTTTCTTCCTTGGCTAAAGCCAAGTGATAGTTCTTGTATATTGTATATACTTCTAAATAAAAAATAGGACATTTAACAAGTTACTTTTAAGGCATCTATGGATAAGAAAAAATAAATCATATTTAAAAGTAAGCATGTGTAGTGGTGGTGGGGTAAGGATGAGTACCAGCTTCCGTTCCTCCATTTCTGGTTCAGCTGCCCATGACAAAAAGGACACAACATCCTTTCCCATCTGCACAAGGTAATAACATTATATATAATTATGCCTCCACAATAGCCATGAGAAAAAGACACAAACCCAAATCTCAGAGACCCAAAATCACCTGTGCTTCAGTTGCAGGGGTCCCGTCTTCATACTCAACAGCACCATCATTGAGCATTTTAGGCATGGCAATAGCTCCACCAGGAAAGTATGGGTTATAGTGCAGCCCTTCTCGAATCTATGGTATAATTCAACAAAGCAAGGCAACAATACATAACTTACATAAAATGAATATACTGATAATTGATTTAGTTTTTTTATCTTGTAACTCATCCAAATAATAGAAGAATTGGAGAAGAAAGGGGAAAGAGAGGGAAACAATTACAAAAAGAACATCCAATGACAGTCATATCTTCAAGTATCGAGTACTTATCTGACCAGATTCGATTCAGTGAATAAACTACGTAAATTATGCACTCATATTCATAGATGATAACGTTTGACCATATTGAAAACAACACTTGTTAATGTTCTTACAACACTCAACACTCCACAGAAAAGTGGGAAAGAAAAGGTAAAAGATGCAGTAATTACCTGTACACCAGCAGGAGGATCACGGTAGCCGGTTAAAAGAGCAAACACGTAGTTCTGACCATTATGGCGAGCCTGAGAGGAAAAATAATCCACAACTCAGTAAAATGTATTTTGATTTTTAAATTTCTCTCTAATTTTTTCAAATATCATGAGATTACCTTGGTGATGAGACTTAAATCAGGGGGATAGGCTCCACCATTTGCGAATCTCGCAGCTTGCTCATTTGCATAAGGCTGAGGAAAACGATCACTCAGCTTTCCGGGCCGAGTAAACATCTCACCCTCATCATTGGGACCGTCAACAACTTCAATCTCGGCTGCCATAGCTTTAGTTTCTTCCTCAGTGTAAGCCACACCCACAAGGTCACGGTAAGAAATAAGTGACATAGAGTGGCATGATGCGCAAACTTGCTGATAAACCTGGTGACCCCGGCGAATACTGTTCACACAAAATAATTAAAATAAATGAATTAAAAAAAAATACTAGCGTAGATCAGGGAATAAAAATAATATTTTAATATCCTCTCTCATTTCAAGTAATCAACATGAACTGAAGTTCACAAAAAGTAATGACTGAAAGATTTTATGATTAGAATTGATGGCAAAAAAAGAACCAACATTACATTTCTCTGGTGACAATGATGCAATTACTTACGAAGCATGGTCGAATGAACTGAGAATGCCTTTGTGAGGCCATGGATAGCTAGGACTATCAAGGCCATGCTCTGCCTCATCAGAAGCATAAGCAAAGGTAGCACAACTCAAAAGCCCAGAAGCTCCTGCACCTAAAAGTGCAAGCGTGCTGAAAAACTTGGAGCCATTAGAATGTGCACCTTGGGCATGCTTTGGGAGAATTGATTGAACATTCTGAGTATTATACTGAAAAATGTTAATAATCACGAAAATGACCGAAATGAATGTGTAGAGTCTAGCATTTCAGAAAACAACATTTGTTCTCCAATAGAATGCAAAGATTGAATCAGACACGTGTGACCATTGCTTTCACTAACCAAAGCAGGGAAAATTTTTGAATATGAAGCAAACTGAGACTTCTCTTACAAATAAATTCCTTAAACAATGATGCATCGTAAGTTGAAAACAATAGCCCAGAAACATCTTTGTGTTCTCACCAAATATTGACAAAAGAAATCTTTAAACAGTGAGCTAGGAATTTTTCCAGTTACTATGAAAATGATGCAGATCATATTATATGATAAATAATGACTAGCCAGGTCACTGCTGAAGTACAACATACATCCAACAATATACCCAGGATCATAACTAAAGGTATCCTTGGAAACTAGTCCAGGGGCCAACAGGGTTTGGGCACTTGAATGTAGTAGAATCAACAGGTTTGATCAGCAAATACTTAAGCTATGGGATCACACAAGCTCCGACATATCACCTTAGTATACAGTCAAGCTGGATGTTGTTTTGGGCCAACATAGAACTCAATGTTTGTAAATTGTTCTCAGTCATAAAAATTTAAGTCACAGGATCATTCCGTTATCCCATTAGCATCCAAGAATGATCAAATTTAATTTTTCTATTTTTTCACCCAAAATCCTAATACAACACCTCTACGGGTTGTCACTTTGTAATACATACAAGTCCTTTAATCACAGCAATTGTGTACACAGTAATATAAAAGTTTTGTAGATTTGCATCATATATAGCATCTTTATTTGGTGCCAATGAAAAACTGTTCCAGAAATAATATGCTGACTTTATAATAATTATTTGCAATAATATGCAAAACTGATAAAGTTACGAAACCGGCAAAATGACAAACCATGTTGCCCACGAAAGTAGTCAGAGTTAAGCAAGAAGACACATAGATTGTAAGCATAAGTAGTTGCTACTCCTCAACTCCCACTATGATATTTGGGAAGGATTGATCAATCTCAACTTGCAACGCCTACTATTGAGAATATGAGATTACATATCCTCTTACACTATACTGCTTTAATCAAAAGTGAAGCACCATTTTCATGCCTTCAGTAATTAGAATTACTCCATCCAAAAAGTTAATAGTAATCAAATAAATTAAAGAATACGTATCACAAGTTCACAACGTCAAACATCATCTCAAACACCCAAGGCGTCATCCCTTAACTGAAATGCATAAAATGAAAAGGGCACATTAATTCAAGCCTTTTAGGCAGACAAATGAAATTAGATCAACCGAAATGAATAAAATGAACCTTGATATCCGAGGTAGCAAGCGAATGCTCGTTCACAGCACTGGGGCGAGCGAATTTGGCTATGAATCTGCTGGCCTTAGCAAATCCTGAATTTTTATTAAAAGGAAAAAAAGAAAAGGCAAATGACGCACAGAACTCCATTACTGAATGAAAATCGTCAATTAGGAGCTGAATAATCTTTTCTAGGGCTACACATCATCGTTTTGCACCGTTAAATCGTTCAATTTACGGCAAAACGACACCTCTACAAGGTCGAAAAACATAACATCTAACCGGAAGTATGAACATACAAAACAGAACAAAGGATCTTAAGAGAAAGGAAGAAAACTTACTCATCTTGATAGGTTAAAATTACAGAGGAATGTAGCAGATTGTTGGCAGATGTGAAGAGAGGAGTGAGAAATCTGAAATGAGAGTGCGTGTGTCAGTTTGGGGGAGGCGAAGAGAAAAATGAACGGTTCAGGTCTCATCTAGCCACGGCCCACGAACCGGCCCTGGCTGCTCATAAGTAATTAGGAAAAAAAATCTTTATTTTTATTATTATTTTTCCCGTGTGTACCGCGTGCGATGCACGGGAATAATATTAAATTAACAATATTATAAATAGATCTTGAGTTTGAGTCACTGACGGAAGTGGAAACTACTATTGATCCTATTAAAAAAGAGAAAGAAAAAAAAAATTATAAAGTAAAGAGGAGGATAAACAATACTTAATAATTATAAATTAAAGATTCGGGGTCAAATAATGTAACACTATTTTGTATAAGAAAATATGAAATTTACATTATTTTGTATAAGAGAATATAAAATTTGCATGTTTAATATTAAAAACACCTAAAATATTATATTAGTATATATGTAAAAGTATTCAAAATTTTCTATATTATTTTTGAAAGATGTGAAGTCATCTACAACTTTTCTAAACAATTTTAGAAGGAAAACATATCTAAAAACATTTGAATTTAACATTGTGTAAAAAAGATTTTTCTAGACTATTTTGTAAAAAAAATATGTCTATATTTAAATTTAATATGTGTATATGTATATATATATATATATATATATATATATATATATGCGTATGTTCTGTGTAGTTTTTTTGAGATAATAATTGAACACGTGTATTTGTTTTAAGAAATGAATAACAAACTTAATATCAGTTTTGAATAATGATAAGGTGTATGAAATATATTCTCCTTATAATAAGATTTTGTTTTTAATCTTAAAATTATCCCAGATATCTTCTCTTTATAATACCATTTTTTTTCTTCAATTTATCGTTAAAAAAATATGTTTAAAAGGGTTACCATAAAAAAATATGTGATAAGGATGCTCGTGTGAAATGGGATTATTTCGTTACCATAAAAAGTTATGCGATAAGGACGAATTGGGGTTATTTCATGAGAATTAAATCGGTATAATTAATGAGTTTAAAAGGCATGTGAAAAGGACATAAATGCTGAGCGTGATGGACATAAGAGTTACCGATTTTGGAAAGTAATAAATGCAAAACTGACTTTGACCATTAATTAAGTTACTAATTTTAATAAATGTTAATTCTTATTATATACGACCATTAATTAAGTTACTAATTTTAATAAATGTTAATTCTTATTATATAAGTATAGATGTTTTCTTTTTTGTTTGGTTTTAAAGAAAATAATAATAATAATAATAATAATAATAATAATAATAATATAAAACTTACTTGAAACTGAATATAAATAAATCTCGAAATTCCTTTGAGAATATCATATAAAAATTATAAAATTACAAATTATACTAAATTTAAAATATATTATAATATCTAGTTAGTTTTTATTTGTGATGTTTTAAAACTAATTTATTTAGATATTTTTTATTTAACATTCATATTGTCTATAAATAATTATAGGAATAACGGAAAGTATTTGAAACTTTACAACAATAATATTTTTTTTAAAACTACTTTTGCATAAATTTATTAAACAACCACTCGTGTAATCTAAGGTGTTGGAGAGTGAGATGAAGAAAGTCAAAATAATGTGGAGTATTCTTTCGATTCCGATAAATCGAAATCATATCAAGTATGAGTTAGTGATCACAATATATGATGGAACTTATAAAATGGTCACAAAAGGTAAAATAATTTTGACTGTTGTCATTTTACTACAAATGGCTGCTAGTTGTGGGCAAGGAGGGCTTCGAACATCGTGGTTCGTAGCCACGTAACTGATCCTCTTGGGCCTTAGCTATAGGCCCAACCTTGTAATTACTAGATTGATTTGTTCTTAAAAAATATCTAAAAATGGGAACATTTTCTCTCCCTGTCATTTGGGCTAAGAAGATGTGAAAACATTTTATGGGACAGTGGCCCAAAAAATATTGAAAACAAGAGTTGAAAACATTTTATGAGAGATTCTGATTCTGATTCATTATTTTATTAATATCATAGAAATATAGAACATAGTATCACAAGGTACAGTTGAGTTTAATTAATTGGAGTCAACTAGCCGCGATTTTCACTCATTTGATTGTTGCAGAATGTTTTTTCTTGTCCCATATTATTGATCAATTATTGCTTAAATATTTATTTCATCTCTTAAATTATACAAATCGACAGGCTTGCTTTCTCTATTTTGTTTCCAAAATACAAGACTTAACAGTATAACTACATTAAACATAAATATATTAATTGAGAAATATTTTTAATTAATTTTAATAAATAATTTTGTCATTATTATAAAGATAAATATAATTTATTTATTTTATATATACAATATGGATGTAAAATCGAAACTCATCAAAAGATGATTAATTTGATATATTATATATGTAAAAACCGATAAGAAATACAAAAATTATCAACTTTTAAAATAAATTATAATTCAATAGGTATAATAGAAAATGATATGAAAATACAATTAATACATCTAAAATGATCATAAATAAATCAACATATTTATTTTGGATTGAAATCAAATTAAAATCTATCCAAGCCAGATAATGAAACATGGAAGTTTGACACTGAAGATCCCAAAGCATGCGAGTCTGCCACTTAGACTTATTACATTAGGAAATTATATATAGGGGGATTTGATGTGAGAAAAACACTAATCAAAATTTAAAATTATTTCCAACTAAACCAAATAACATCGATGTAAAAGTGGCTTAATTTGTAAAATAAACATATTGATATTTATGTCCTTTTTTATAATTACCCAAAAGCACGATTGTTTTTGTATTAACAAAGGTGTAAACTAATTAACTTGTAATTAACTAAAACCCACCGTGAAACTTACATCAAGAAGAATTTACATAAATTGCACATCAAACATAATTCACATAATCACATGATTTTTTATTGGTCACATGATCACTTGCACTAATGAGCTAGTAGGAGGGGTTAGACAAAATCCTATGTTAGAAAAGAGTTAAAACCCAAAGAAGGACACGATAAATTCTCTTAAACTTAAAAACAAA